CTCAGCCCATAAAATACCTAGACACAGGTTATCTCTTGTCAGAAACTGTTAAAACCACACATGGCTTTCAGTTGGAATTAGTAAAGTGAAAAATCATGGTCACATTGAGTGTAACAAGCCAAAACAGTTCAATATAGGGTTCTCAAGTTGCTAGGCAACTATGTGAACAGCAGTGTTGATGTGCACAGAAGGGGAGGGGGGCATTATTAGTGATTTACCAATCAAGCATCAACAATTTTAGCTTCAGTTTTGTAGTCATAATTTCCAAAATTTTTAAAAGAAACATTAAAATAGAAACGTGCCTTAAAAATTTCTGAAATAAAATATTAGGAATGTATTGTTTATTATACACACTGATGAATACACCTCCCCCCCAATATTGTGGTGTTGACGCATACACGCATTCCCTCAGCGATGTACTAAGCAAAGAATTAAAAACATGGATACTGCTGTACAAAGGTCATAACACAGTCACAGTATTTGACGGAGCTAAGAAAATCAATCTCAGTGCCGTATTACAGTCACTAACATTAACACATTGAGATGATAGGAATGGAGACGTGATCTCATCAACTCTCCAGTTTTTAGTTCTATAATATTGAGTTGGGAGAAAAAATCTTTTAGCAATAAATATCCCATGGTAATTTAGTCTTTGCTAAAACTATCACACTGTCAAATCAAAACTTTTTCGGGCCACATTTCTCAAAAAAAAACACACCTTGGTATTGTAAAATAATACAAGGAGATTCTATTATTAGGAAGTACCGGGTACACCGTTTTTTAAGAACCGTGTTGACACTGGCATTGAAGCACGGCTGCACTAAGCAACAATTCTGAAGAACCTGAAGCACTGTAAATGTTTACGATAGAAGCTGAAACCAACAAGTCTTGAAACTGAAAACTACATAACTTGCTCAGTACAGTCGCTACAACTTAGGAACAACACAAGATATGTGAATGAAAGGGACAACTTCATGTAACTTCAGAAAACGAGGTATTGTGACAGCATACCTTAATGGTAAATTCTCCCGCTATGCGGTTCCCATTCAATCATCCTCTGTACAGCAAAGGCAGCGGCAGATAAATATTGTGGCTGACAAAAATAACTTGGGTATAATTTAAATTACTTGCTAAATATTTCTCTTAAAGCAAATAAACCAAAGTGAAAAGCTGAGGAAACTTTATATTACATCTGATGACTGAAAATCAGATGAGTTGACGTCTTGCTGATCTTTTTACAGCCTTTGCCAACTTTATTCATTTTTTTTTGTGTGTGTGTGAACCAAATGAAGATGAATATAAGTGACAAGTTTGAAATAAAACATTCATTTTTGACATTCATTTTGTTACCATACTTCAGGTTTATAGGGAAAATTTACCAATATTTATGATCTATTATTTTCATGCTAAAATTTGGTACATTTTTAAATACACAAATATACTTCGTCAATTTAGGACCAAATGAACACACTTCCCTATTGGCTGAAGTCTTGATCGACATTTTTGAAAAACTTATTATTTTATGAAAGTTAACACTAATTGAGGCTTAAGCGTTTAACGAGCTATTAAAATAACAGATATAATGGAAGTGAAAAATGCATGCACATTAGGAATTTTATATTAATTATCAATTCTTGCTTGTTTTACCCAATTGATACAAACTATTTTTTATTTCACAAAAACACAAAAAGTGGACTTTTTTGGAATTATTTTTAAGTTAATCAAGGTTAATTAACAGCATGATTCAGAAGAAAAAAAAAATAGTATTCATCAGAATTTCCTAACAATTTGTGCCAACTGTAAATATCCATCTTACAACAAACTACCTACCAATATATATGATTTTAAGTTACCCAACTAACTTTTGAGACCGTGTTGCCCATTTTTTTCGAGGGAAAAGTAATTATCTAAACATGACTTTGGGCTAAAACTTGGATCATTATACCATTAGTTGCCATTTATGTTGAAGAGCTGCTGGCCAAGAATACATTTTTCCCTTAAAATTTCTATATTATACAATTTTATTTTTCTATATTAGATTCATAAACTTTACCTCTTAAATGTTATCTCTCTGGAGGAGTAGAGAATTATTGGATACAAGTAATACATTCATCTATGTAATGTTAATGTAAGTATCAGTTGGTAATGAAAACCTAAGATACAGTTTCAGCTCTAAACTTAGACAGGGATTCAATGGCATCACTTTAAGACGTGTCCAAGGCTTGATTTAAATCCCCACATACTAGTGGAGTATGATCAGGTTTACAATTTAAGTATGTCCTGATTTATTCTAGACTATACTACCAGGAAATCCAACAGACACACCAGAGCATAGACAATTAACAGACAAGATTTGTTACTAAGTATGCGCTACAGCATATGGTACATGTCTATGGTACAATTTTAATAATACATGTACATTCCAAACACGATGACCAGAGAAAATGGACGACTATTTAAGGGGATTAAAAAAAGTCAATAAGATCTTGATCTATGCATGGATTAGATTGCCAAAAAAAAAAAAAAAAACACAGTGACAGCGGGCGATGTGGTAACTCGAACGATTGTAAGCATGTTATTCTGCTGTTTGAATATATGTTAGTAGAAATCCTACTTAAATGTTGAGGTTTGGTCATTCTGGTAACGCAATGGATAGAATACAGCTTTTATGAAAAATGAATTAAATTCACGAGTGTCTACATGTATGTGACCTTATGTACGAATATATTTACCAAAAGTGATGAAAATCCACATTATAGTCCCTAATCTTCGGATAAAATACATGTAGTTCATATAGAATAATTATTGCTTGTCCATATTTTTATTAGAAATTTTTGTCAGACATTACCGAGACAGACTTGTTTGTACAAGTGTGTTAATACTGTGCACTAAGATTGAAAACTACCAGCAACAGACTTGGATGCTTTCCTAAGCAACGACAAATGCATAAACCTCCAAATAAGCCTACAGGCAACTAGTGGGGTAATATTTACAATATCACTGAGCAACCACACACATAGTCCTCAAACCAAACACACAGTAAAGACTTTGTTAATTATTTCTGTTTTATCAGGAATAGAATAAACAAAACACAAACTGAATTGTCAGCCATCTTTTGGCTGTTTGTCACTTCTCTACTCCAGTAGCAATGCAATTATATGTTCAGAGAGCGGCTTGACGTACAAGATACTTATAAATATGTAGAGACGCCAGGATAACCTTAACAGCCCCTGGCAATACATCTCAAATTCAAAGAGCTTTGATTCCCCAGTACCAGATGTGAAATTCCTATCTATAAAGCATGCAAAGTCCAATCAATGATGTCAGATGTAATTAGTATAAAAACTTTATGAAGTTACATTCACAAATTTAGAAAATATATCTCGATAAAAATACCAAGCCACCTGTAAAACTACGCTAAGAGTAGTAGAAAGACTAAAAAGTGATGATAAACAACATTTTGAAGTTTCAAAAGTTTCTGTGTCACAAATGTTTTTATAATCTACCAATTTTCACTATCTACATATGTTGATTTAAAGTTACATGAGTTCTCTGTAAGGTGACTGAAGTTAACCATAACAGTGACAGTATTTAACCATTTGAGCTCAAAGGTAGACTTTTGTCATTTTTTACAAAATAAAACGCAAATAACTTTTATTTTTATTTTTTCATGATGATTGACCATCGGTAAATTATGTTCATTCATCTCCAAAAGTCAAGAAAAATACACAAAAAATTGTGATGCTCAAAGCATTACATACATTATAAACTGAGAGAAGAAAAATATTCTGAAAAGGGACACAGATTACAGAACACAGATTTTCAAAAGAGAACTTTAGAGTGTGGAATAATCACCTACTTTCCTAACACTGAAACAAAATTGGTTCGTTGCTAAATCAAAAGTGTTTTTTTTTTTTCTAACAATAGACACTCTAACATACTTAGAGACAGACACCATTAATTTGTAACAGTAATAAATCAGACTAAGAAACATCCACATGTCATAGACATCCCCCAAGGAATTAAAGGAAACATCACATATCTGTTTGACAACTGTATACATTAAAATTAGATCCTTCTAGGGCCTCTTTGTTGCCATCTGTGTCATCTGTACTATAAATCCTGGACATTGCACATGCAGTATGATTTTAGACTGGCTCCAGTTGCACAATAATTGGCCAAAGTATGACAGACTTATCAATTTTTACTGATGTCCCAAAACTGATCAGAAATCACTATTTTTGGTGGTGAAAAATAATATATTAGGTACAGAAACAATTCTACTTTTGACAACACAATTTGCTAATTTGAATACAAAGACTAAATTCCTTGAAAGTCACCAATTAAAAAGCTACTCTCCTTTTACTCATACCTCTAGTGTTTTAAGCAAACAGTAAAATATTTTAAAAAGATTGAAATTATTCAGCTAATGAGGAGAGGAGTATATATACATTTTTTTTTTTGCTTGGACTTGAACAGTGTTATCTGTTATGTTAACTGCTTTGAAGGGAATACGGTACTCTAGGAATTGCACCAGACTGGTTAAACTTTTGATTTTTCAAAAAAAAGATTAAGTACTAGTATGGAAGTCATGATGATGACAAATATATAATTTTGACTTGTACTTTCAATCTTGACTTCAAATCTTTAAATTTTGATTTTCACTCTCATGAAGGGAAATTTTGAAGTTTTTTTGTTTTGTTTTTATCAGAGGTTTCTGTCAATTAAATTTAATAATTAATTACCAATCCCTTAGTCAGTTTAAATTATATAGCAAACATTTAACAAACAGAAGGACTTTCTTTTGTACCTACAACCCTACCCTTCATCGTCCCCAAATTAATGTCTCTCTTGAGGACACCTATAGACAACTAAATGGGCATAAACAATTGAATTGAGGGAGGGCTGGAGGGATAGGGATAGGGTTTGAGTTAGGGTAAGGGGTGACGGTACAATGGAAAGTCTTTCCAAAAAAATGATCAACAAATATTTTGTTTTACCTTGTGTAAAGTTTGTGATACTGTGGTTTCCATAATCAACATTAATAAGATAGCCATGCTGTGGTGGTGTAGTTATCATGTATACCAATGTACGGTCGTCAGTGTCTCGATCTTCAACTTTCAGCGCTTTGTTAGTAATCCTATAGCCCAGGTGACCAGTGTCCAATCTGCCGATGGTTGTGGCGCCTTTGTTTGTGACAATTTGTGGAATGCCGTTGTCCACTGGGATGATATTAATGTCAATCATCTGTGGTCTCTTAGTAGTGTAAGTGGTTTCGGGGTAAACGTAAAAGTCTGTGTGTGTGCCATCAGTGATGATAAACGAGAAGCTATCGTGAGTCGTCTCTGATCCGTCATGTTGGTAGCTGATGAAATTTTGGTTCAGGTCCTCCATGGTGAATGTTGTCACGGCATTGGTGTAGTTCCACAGGATATTACCGTGGACTGGCACCTGAGTGATGGTAAACTGCAACAGTTCATCAGAAGTGTCACGGTCGTCAATTCGTAACTCAAAAGGTGTGATCAACTTATTGGTACCTTCCTTCACGTAAAGATCTTCAAAGAACAGTACAGGTTTTTTGTTATCAACGTCACTGATAGAGATACGGAAAGTACGGACTACGGGATTGAAACCGTCAGTGACTTCAAACTCAAAACTGTCCATTTTGATTTCATCATCGCTTGTATGGATGTAATATATTTTGTTACCAGCCAAGTCCAACTGCGAAAATGTTACAATCGGCATACCTGGGTGATCAGTGCTCTCAAGATGACCCTTGATTGGAGTACGTTTAACGGTAAACACCAAATGCTCATCAGCACTATTAAGATCGGTTGTACTTAGCAAGTCGGTTGTGAGAATTACCCTTCCACCTTCATGGAGTTCTACACCTTTATTGATGACGTCCGGGAAGATCATATCAATATTGTCAACGGTGACATAAAAGTATCTGTCAATGAGAGGGTTCTTTCCATCAGTCACATCAAATTTAATGAGATCACGTACACCTTCGTGGCCTGTGTGTATATAGCGAATAAGATTATTGTCAATTTCCGACTGTGTGAAATTCATACCGATTGTTATATTTTGGAGAACGGTACCATCATTGTTAAGACGTTGTAAGAATCCATGACGTGGGCCGTACCTTACAATAAAAGTAAGGCTAGGATCTGGTGAGTCTAAATCTGTCGCTTTGAGGATATCGTTTGTTATGAGGTGAGCTTCCCCAATGTCAATATCTAAACCGTTATTGATGGTTAGTCTTGGTGTTTCGTCATCAACTGGTATCACCATGATGAGAATAACTTTCACTACTTCATGAATACCATCGGTAAGCCGAATAGTGAAAGAATCTTCGAACGTCTCAGAGTCATCGTGTTTATAAACTATTGCCGATCCTTGAATAATCTGATCTAATGTGAAATTTGAAACTGGTATCGCTCCTGTTGGCCTTTGTTGTTCGATAAGACCATGCTCTGGCTGTTTTACAATAAAGAAGTGGAGTTCATCCGCAGGCACATCCAAGTCAATAGCATTTAAGATGGGGGTATCTATGACCAGGTTCATTCCTTCCATTACTACGAACTCACGCATGAACACCTCAGGTTCTTCATCATTGACTGGTTCAATGACAATTGGAAAGAAATAATTTGGAGAAAAATTTATGCCATCAGAACAATGAAACGTGAAGCGATCTTCAACGGGTTCGATTTCTTGGTGTATGCTTTGTACGTAATTAATATGATGCTGACGAATGTCATTTATAGTGAATGCGCTGATAGGCATTCCAGAGCGTGATTTTTCGGATCCAGGACCTGGAGATATGTTTTCCACATATCCATGCGTAGGTTGCACGATAATTGTACAAGTTATTTCATCATCAACAGTATCAAAATCGGTGGCATCCAAGTTATATAGGTGATGACATTTTTGTCACCCTCGTACACGACATATGGAAGTCCGACTGTTACATTTGGAGCTAGGCTATCAACAGGCAAAATCGTGACATAAACTGCCACCTCAGTGATTCGATTTCCACCAACAACCCAATCATCTGACATGTCCGACAGCATCAGGATGAAATTATCTTCTCGTTTACGCAACCCGATTTCGCCACTCGTATGTCGATAAACAACTAATCCATTCACAATATCTTGCTGGGTGAAGCGATCTGTGGGTAAGCCATTACGCTCAATGATGCCCATTAAAGGAGGTATTGAAATGATGAAAGTCAACATTAAATTGTCAGTATCTGGATCAGAAGCGCTGAGTACGTCAGTTGTAATCAAAGTACTGCCACCTTCTAATACCTCAAATTGGGATCCTACCGTACCTGGTGGTAGATCCAATGTTGGTGCTTCATCGTCTATTGGGCGCACGTTGATTCGGATAATCACTGGAACAATATGAACGCCATCACTGACATCCAGTAGGATAGTATCACCTAGTTCTTCAGCGCCACTATTTACATATGAAATGCGGCCATTCTGAATATCTTCGAGTACAAATATATCACCAACGATCATTTCCACTCCATCATAGTTTAAATAACCATATTTAGGTAATTCAGTGACAGTAAAGATAATGAGCCCGAGGTCAGTGTCTGGGTCTGTTGCATCCAGCATAGTTGGGCTGATTACCATAGTGCCATGTTCAAACACAGTAAATCCAGTGTTAGTTATAGTGGGTGGTTTATTGTCTATTGGACGCAAAAAAATTGTGAAGCGTTGGCCAGAAACTATGTTTCCTGCGGGATCTTGTACGGAATATATAAACTGGATTACTCTTGGCGTGATACCTAACTCGACTGGAGGAGGTTTGTAGCCTATTTTCAGATGGTTCAACTGTGCTTGAGTGAACATTACAACTGGACTATCTGGATTTTCAAAAAGTACAATTTCACCAGCTGGTAAAGGATTGCCTAAATCACTGTCAAACGGCAGCTCAGTCAGTGTATATTTCAGTTCTCTATCATCCGAATCTAAATCTGTGTAGCGGAGAAATTTCTTTGTAATTGAAGTAAGTTCGAACTCATCGACTACCATCTGTAATGCTGTATCCGGATACAGATATGGAGGTTGGTCATCAACTGGTCTGACTTTCACGTAAAACGTATGTACTGGTGAAATGTTCGGAGGATCGTTTTTGTCCGCAACTCTGAACTGAAACTGATCCACAATTACTTCAGTATTATGAGGTCCAATGTGACGATAGTAAATTTTATCGTTAAAAATTTCTTCTTGTAGCCATTCGGTCACTGGTTGCTCATAGTAATTATCGACAAATTGCCAGTTCTGGGGGTCAGAAGGGATCTCAAGTTGTCGCCTAATGATTTCCCCTTTAGTGGAATAAGGAGCTTCAATGATAAACATTATGGTTGCATCATCAGAGTCCACGTCAGTTGCGCTTAAGGTGAAGAGGGTAATGGGTACCACTTCACCTTTATTGATTATTAGACCGGTATTTACATTGACTATCGGTGGTTCATCATCTACTGGAGCAATGGTGATGGGAAAGAGGAATTCTACCTCATTCTCACCATCAGTCATTCGAAAAATAATATTGTCACTGTACGTATCGGTGCCATCATGATGATACACAACAGCACCAGATACCAAGTCTGCAGCGGTGAAGAATTTCTGCCGTCTGCCATTGATCAGAAGCTCGCCATGTCGGAGCCCGTCCAACACAGTGACCCGAACATCTTCTAAGTTATCCTCATCGGAAATTTCTAAATTAACAGAGCTGAGAAACGGTCGTGATTGACCCTCAAATAGCATCATACCTGTATTTCTGGTTACCACTGGCGCCAGCGTGTTCATTGGTTTGACAAGTATCATAAGTGTGAAGGGCTCAGAGGTTGCAAGTTCAGTGTCCACAATTTCAAACTCAATTTGAAAAATTCTCTGTTCGTTTGAATCTTCACTCGGTGGAACGTAAGCAATTTTTAGTTCTCGGATGTCTTTTTGGTAAAAAGATGAAATAGCTAGATTGCGATCATCTGTACTAACAAGGTAGCCTTCCCCAGGCCCTAATGGTGATGTTATATTGAAAATTAACTTATCTGGGTCAGATTCTAGGTCCTGAGCAGCTAAAATATCCGTGGTAATGGCAGTCATTACAAACTGGTCGACTTCCATTAGCAGCAATGCGGTAGGACTTGGCTTTGGTGGATTGTTTTCCTGGCCTGGGACGATTCTGACCATCTTTTGAAAGTATTCCTGCTTGACTCGATTCCCGTTTCGATCCAGCAATTCCACAACCATAGGAATAAAATCTTCACGCGGTGAGTTGGTTTCAGCGGTGTGTCGATAGCGAATACCGGCATCCAAGAAATCGTCACAGTCCATCATAACACCTTGTTCCCTGTCCGCGATGTTGATAACATGGCCATATTTCGGATATCCACTGTTGGAGCTGAGAATGGTTACTTTACATCGTTCGGACGCACGGTCGTACGTGAACTCTAACTTGGAATCATCGATAATGTCACTTGTACCCATAAGTTGTTGGACTTGAAGTGGAATATTTCTAGTAACAATTTCCAGTTGTATGGCTTCCACTTTGACATCAATCATGAATGGAATAATGAAGGTGTCAGTTGGAGTATCATAACGAAGTTGTAGTTTTACCCTGTCTGTCTGCGGTCGCCGAGACCCAAAATGCGAATATTTAACGAGTCCGTATTGAAATTCGCAAGGGAAACTGTTCGGTGACAGTCGTCCGGGCCACTGTGATAGTGGATCGTTATACAATACACTAACGCCACATCGATCACCTGGCTGAACGGCAATATGTAACTCACTCACCGGGTCTACAAGTTTTTCCCTACCGAAAGGTACTGCAATGCCAGAATTACGAACAATAATAAGGTCTTCAATCGAGTCCTGTTGCGCTCGCGAAAAATTCAAGAGAACACAGCAGAATACAAGAAATCGCCAACACAGAGGCGACCAGCGATTCCTATGATCCATCATGACACCGGTAGTGTAACACAAGTTAGGTCCAAAAAGTTAAATGAGGGGAAACTTCCAACTTCTTTTCCCTATGAACAACCCATGTGTTCTGCATGATGTTTCTGACGGGACCCCGACTGGAATCACAACACCAGCCAGTTCACGACAAGGTCACAACCTTAGATTAATCCGCTGCAAACTTCCAACAACTGGGACCACATATATCATCATTGTTGACGAAGATTTTTATATTCTTTATTAATAACAATTCACAAATAGTAATTAAATGTAAACTTTATAATTTACTTCACAAATGTATCAAACCAGGATACGAAGAAGGGAATAAGTTGTTGCGTTGTAAGACAATAGTTGAGTGGTACTGCGTCTCGTCCTCTGGCATAGTTGGGGCGGAGCGATTAAATTTCAGGGCGGAGAAATGTTTCAGACTAAAACACTTTTTTTTTTCTTTTTGAAATATAATTCATACTTGATAATGCAATCTTGTAAGCTGATTTAAGAAATGATCGTGTTTTATACTGGTATATGAAAGAACATCTATATAAAAAGAAATATGTGTTTCATCTCCATAATATGTTTATTATGTGTTGTTTTTTCCAAAATTTCTCGAGATTATTTCGGCAATATTATTCATTTCTTTTTTTAATTTAACTCACTTTTTATGACATTGATTATATTTTGCTGAAACTATATCTAAATATAGTATAGTTATATCTTCATAGCAGTTTAGTTTCATTCCGAGGTCTGTGGTTTTATGCGACCTCAACTTCAGTTAAGTTTATTTTATTTAAGGAGTCCCATGTCTTTCGACAATGAAGGTTCATCTGCCCAGGATCACTTTAGATCTAGCCATCAAAGAAGGCCAATTATGCAAAACTACTTTGGAATAGCATATTACATATTCTGTGAATATATACTCGGTATTTTAGATAAAGGAATGTTTTTGGGTTTTTTTTTTTCCGGAGAAAAAATCACTGAATGAAGTCACAAGTTGCAGAGCACAGATGGAAACAAATATGAGAAATCGAGAAACGCGTTGCCCTGGGCGCTAGCATACAATACGTTTGGGTCCATACTAAGACTGTACTGATTCGAGGCGCGACACACCGTAATAATCAAAGACGTAGCAAGTTCGGAATATAACGGCGGACTACAAAGAAAGTCGGTGAGAGATAAAGAAATTTAAACAAATTAATTTAAACGAAGCGAGACTAATGACTAGCAAATTGTCGACTTTTAATTAACGCGAAAGACGTACTAACAAATAATGGTAGGCAGTAAAATTGGGTTTGAAAACTTCTCACTTTCCAACCGACTGAAACCAGACTCCCCCAAGGTCCGCGTCCCGTACGTGACGTGTAGGTGTTCACATTTCCGGTTAACCACCGACAATGGTTTCATTGTAAAATACGTCGCTCCACTGTGGTGCAAAGTATTGTGAGGTCCGGAAACTTCCTCAGATGGGAAACATGTGCATGACCTGAAAAGTGTTAAATTTGGGTTGATAATTTCCAGATTGTACAGCGCCTATGCCTTTATTTGACAGATCCCGCGTCTTTTACAAAGGAAGATGCATTTAAAAAAAAAAGTAATAACGTCAATGTTTTCTTTGTTATGTAACCTTTTTAATTTCTTCCGAGGAGTTTTAAGTGTTCTTTAATAGATTGTTCAATGAGAAAAATATTTACGTCATATTAACATTACGTACGGAGATAATTATTGTACATGTTGTCATTCAATTAACTAAAATGCATTTGCATTGCACATAAATAACTTGTCCCTAACTATTAGAACCATAAAACGGGCCATAAAACCACAATAAAACATGGAACACTTATTCTCACACTAGACTCCACATTTAATACATTTTTTTAGCATAAATTACGATTTTTAGTACGTTTATGAAGAATACGTTTCAAAATCGCAGCAGTCAACTGGCTTATGTAGCGTCTGTCAAACATTTGTGTTTAGCGCCCTCACTACCTGACTGATACGAAAATTGTACAAATGCAGTTGTTTTTTAACTGCTTGACCACAAGAGGGCGTTTTAACTTTACTTTTTGGATATTCCCCTTATTCACTGGATTTTAAATTCACAGAATTTCAAGTGAAATAGTGAGTTTTATTGTAATTGTAAATGATCATGTGAATTTATTATTTTAGCACAGTTCACTTATCGGTAAAAATTACGAAATGAAATGAATAATTATTGTATTTACTGCAGGAACTTTTGTTTTGTTTAAAATGAATTAATCATTGTGAATTAATTTGCAAATAACCATCGCAAATCATTGAAAATAAGCTACAAAACACAATATACTTACAATACAACGTAATACAACTTTGTGGCCACCACAGCCTCATATTCGCTCTATATAATGAGAACTACCTAATTAGAATAATAAACAGCACACTTATGGATTTTTCAGTTCTTATCTCTAACAAGCAGCCTCTCGGCTGAGATAGCTCCGCTGTTAGTAAAGCACATTTCAATTAAAGAACAGAAGATATCATTAGAAAATGAACAATATACATTGTATCAATGCAATGGGACTTGCTGTTTTCAACAAGAACTCAAAAATATAATTTTTCACCATAAATGATTGTGGTTTTTAACAAGAAGAAAATACCACTTTTTACCAAAAATGACAAAAATATTCACCAAAATTAGAAAATTAAAGATATCGTCATGAAATGAATAAATTTGAGAATGGTTCACATGTAGTACCTATATATGTAATATCAAAGCAATTGGACTTGCGGTTTTTAACAAGAAGTTGAAAATAACATTTTTTACCAAAAATATTCACCAAAATTATAAAATTAAAGATATCATCATGAAATGAACAAATCTGAGAGAGGTCTACATGTAGTACCTATATATGTAATATCAAAGCAATTGGACTTGCGGTTTTTAACAAGAAGTTGAAAATATCACTTTTACCAAAAATGCCAAAAATATTCATCAAATTAGAGAATTGAAGATATCATCATGAAATGAACAAAT